TTCATGCCAAGAAATCTTCCATGCATAGTTCTCAGAGTTCCGCGGCAGTCTGTTCGCGCAGGGCGGCGTGGGGCGGTGATTGAACAGATTTTTTTTTCGAGGTCTGAGTGCGCTCAGGAGCCTAGCACTGTGAACGGCGTGGCTTCTAGGTCTGACGGTCTAACAGTGTGCCGAGGACGGACAGATTTTCGACCGACTGGCCTAAAATGAGCGCTACCGAGTTCGAATTCAAGCGCGCTCAGATAAGCCACTTGCCTCGAGTCAATTGAAAATCAAGAGTTCGCGCGAGTAACCTGTCCAGACCTCTCTGCGATCGACGACGTTTACACTAATTCTCAAAAAATGCGTAATGACGTATCCACTTTGGAGCACTACGATCAGCGCGGTGGTGTGAAACTAGCGATGGCAGTGGGGGGCCGGCTCTGTGCCTTCCCCGTCCTGCAGCCTGCGCTAGATCTCTCCGGTGGAGACGGCGAAAGCCTGTCCTGTTGCATAGCTCGCGTCACGTTTCTAAAGAGGCTGCTAACTAGGGAGGCGGGGAAGGGGTGGGCACGAGGGCGGACGCGGGGAAGGCGAGCGGCTAACTTTTAGGCCGACGGGAAGTTGAAATGTCTTGCAGAGAGAGCGCTGCAGATGTTTACAGCTGCAGAAGGTATGTTGCACGACTCCTCGTTCTCACGGACCGCGACAGTTGTGATAGGGTAGTGAAACAGAAAAAAGGGAACGCTGACTGTCAGGAATTCCTGTGAGATGTATCAAAACAGTCACTAACAACCGAAATACTCTTATGGGTTCGTGTTATGTCTGTCTTTCAGCTTTTATTCTCCTGTCTAAAAGTTGTAATTTCCATTTCAGTGTATAAACCAACGTATGCCAACATATTGTTTATAAGAGTTAACAATGTAATTAAAACAAGGACAATTCGTTTTCAATGTTTTGTTGGTTATTTACGAATTTCCAAAAAGGAAATGTACCACATTTCTCATAGTATTTAATGCAAAGCTGTAAATTGATCTGAGTCTATTAAACATCACGATATTGCAATTTATACAATGTACTGCATGTAAAGTGCGTAAGAACTAGCGTTTCTTTTTTCCCTTTACACACACAGAAATGAAGTCAAATAAAACTTCTTCATACGAGAATACAAAGTAGGTCTCATCCTGTCAATCTTGATTTTCCGAGAGTGTGGTTTTTAACATTTCCCGGTAAACACGAACTGGATGCTAAACAAGACGAGCATTACCGACGAAAGAGCTAAAGAGATAAACAGAACACATGTATAACGCGGAGGGAAAAGAAAGAACACAACTATATTCCTAAGAAATTTTACCCAATATACTAACTGAAGGGAATGCACAACGCATCCATGAATACAAATGAAACAGGTTGAGTTAGCTCCGAGCTACACTGCCCCTGGCTCTGCAGTCACTCTGACCGGAAGGTCCTAGGGTACCAGTCGCCTTTTCGACATTAACTTTAAAGCTAGTAGATCGAATTCAACCACTGACTGTAGGATAATTCTAACAGCTTTTTTCGATAGTTTTCCGTAGTTTCTGCGATCAGTAACCGACGAATGATGGACCGAACAAAAGGGTCATGGAGAACGTGCAAACATTCCTTTCTCTCTCTTGTCTTATTCTTTCACCTTACACACACATACACGCACGCACTTATGCACTACACCACAACGCATGACAGGAGGCCTGAGGGAGCTCAGTGCTTGCTCCATTTGGGGCGGTGTCCCTCTGTGGGGAAATACCTGGATGAGGAAAGTTCCGTCGTAAGCCAACCTGTAGGTCAGTGCAAGATATCACCGTCCAGGGAGGGGGACGGAATCATTTCCACCTGCTGAGAGTATGTAGCATTAACTACATTCCAGGCAACTATCAATACAAAAGAACTAGTGTAACTATAATCCAAGAGACGCACGTTGCATTGTATCTACGGTGCGCTACTTTGATCTCAGAGACCTCTCGGGGAATGTCGCAGAAGCCGTCAAATCTCCAGACGGACGTGGCATGACCTCCGAGTTCGCAGTCACTTTTTCATAACTGTATTTATGATTTTAAAAAGGAAATTTTAGATTTTTTCACAATATGATTAAGCCCATTTTACGTTTTTAACATTTTTTTCTTTCCTATTAGTATGACTGATGAAATAACTTCAGTAAATAACATTTAAATTACTACTTCACTTTACTCAATGTTTTTACTTCGCACATGAGCAACGTTCTTTTCTATAAGAACAATGTTTTTAACTTTTTAAATATTCTCTTCAGAATTCACATTTAAACCAAAAATTAACTTTACGTTGCGCTCGTGCAAAGAACAACAGAGTATAATCCTAAAATATCTTATTTGAAGAACTTCCTATTGTCACTCTATGTACATTTGAAACAAGAACGGTTCGCTCGACGCACTTCCTAGATGGAATTGATGTCTATCTCCAAGGTGATTGTGCAGATATTTATTTTCCTAGAACTCCATTTGTGTCTCTCATTTTTGCTCTGCCAGGATTACGTTGAATTTTCGATAATTTTGAAGAGAACAGAACAGTTGACAGTCCCTAGAACTTCCTTTCATAAAACAGCTTACGTGATGTTCATTGCTTCATTTAGTAGAAGTCACGACATTTTAATTTTCAGAAGGAAACTTGTAGTAATCTAATTAGTAGCAACAAAATCTGCGTTAGATTCTCACTCCAGAGCACCACAAAAATTCGAACTTAAGCCAACTTTGCAAAATTTAAAAAGAAAACGATTTAGGTCATTATAGATAATAATTGATTTTAGCCGTTTTTAAAATCTACAGAATTCACGAATTGAGCTCAGAAAATATACTGATAACGCATTAAAGTTATTTTTAATAATAAATAGAATAATAACGTAATATTCTGTCCAACTGTAAGGCATTTTTTCTTCGAACGGAACGTGTGCTGTTCATTTTCACGAGACAATATACTTACACCTATTCAAGCATTAAAAGGTTGCCATAATTGAATTGGCAATTTTGTTAGTGATCAACAGGACACTACAGTTTATAAAAGGAATAGTTATCTTTTGTTTGAATGCTACATACGTGTGAACGGTATGCAAAAGAACGAATATTGTAAACGGTAGTCATTATACAAAATACTAATATATTCGACTAAAGATGTATTCGCAGATGTAAGCCAAAAGTTCCTAAAAGGTGAGCCAAAACCTGAGTCATTTGCTCTTTGGAATTCAAAAAATTTCAAATACAATTTTCCACATTTTTAGCATACATCCAATGTTTAAAGCCACCATAAAAGGTTGACAAAAACAATATGAATGAATTTTTGTTCACACGCTTTTTGTGCCCAGGAATTCTAAAAAAAGGGGGAAAAACTGGCAAAACAAGTATTCATAAAACGTTGTATACAAACTGCACCTATTGTCCCGATAATTTCACGAAAATTAGTTTTTCTCTTTTTACAACATGGAAGCACCATTCACTAAACACGAGTGGACAAGAAGTCAAAACCAATAGAAACCAGTGAATGACGAGGACGCAAACGTTTTGACACCGGGTCGGAAACACGGGGCATCGACCTGTCAAATAACGATCTATTATTGTCGCGTTCCTGTCGGGCGTCTAAAAAAACGCGCCGCCCTTAGCGCGCGGGCCGACGGGGTCACGGGCGGGGCGGGGGCGGGGGCGGGCGCAGGCGTGCAACGAAGCATGTGGCACAAGAAGAGCGAAGCGGAGCGGCAGTTCTGCATTGAGCGGCTGGCGTACCGCCGACTAGGCGCAGCGGCGTAGCGCGGAGGAGGCGCGGCGGGGAATGACGGGAGGGGGCGAGGCGGGGGGGACCCTGCGAGCGGGGCGAGGAATGGCGGGGCGCGGAAGGAGGCGGTAAGCGGGCAGGGCCCGGAGGGTGACGGGGAGGAGCGGGGAAAGGCAGTGAGGGACGGGGAGGGGAAGGGCTGGGGAGTTGTGGAGACGGACGCGCTGCAAGACAGACCACCCGAAATTGAAAATCAGAATCGGGCGTGAAATTGAAATTCAGAAGTTCATTGTGTAAATACGGGAGAAATGTACTGACACACTAATACAAAATACCTAATTTTAAATATAATTTGACACACAAAACAAGATATTGTTGCTTTGATTTGCAAGGATGAGCGGTAATAAAGACGTAATCTGAAATAAATTATTGTACTATTGTGAAATTATGATACCATTAGCAGGAATTAAATGAAACCATGTAAGCAAGATATAAGGCTACAGTATTATATCTCTAGTCAGCTTTAAAGAGACATTCAGATGCGATGCGAAGGATACTAAGCTCGTTGGACCAACGAGACACGTAACCTACATACACACTTGACTTGAACGTCATAAAGGGAATATTCCAATTATCTACTGATGTAGCAGGAGGAATTGATGGAGTTATTTATGACTTCACATTTTATGCTTTATCCTATGAACTATTCGAATCATCAGGAAATATGTTAAAACATGAAACGGATGCTTTTATTTGCAACGGGAGAGACTCATACAATAAGATTATCACAATGTATACACAATTATACAGTACATGCCAATTAGCTTCATCAGCGTATACGGCTTCCGGCGAAAATAAATTATTATACCCACCGGAGACACGTCTCACACATCATCGTGCCTTCCCGTGTCCTTGGCTATTCAGCGTGCACGCCACAGTATGCAACACCCACATGCCGCGCTCTATGAGTACTGCTTATTGGCGAGCGGAGTGACAAAATGAACCCCATCTATTTCCCCGCGTCGACCTTATGAGGATACCGACTTGTATGCATCTTCCTTTCCGACGCCTTCGCCCCGCTCCTCCGCGTGTCCGCTCGCCTTTTCGCCCGGCGCGCGACTGCCGCCCGCGGGCGAGCGAGCGGATCGCCCGCGCCGGGAGAAGGGGTCGCCTCGCACCCCTCGCTGCACCCCTCGCCCCCTTATTCGTTGGCTCTCCTCTCGAGCCGCGGGGTTCCCCCTTCCCTCCAGCCCCGCCGCCACCGCGCCTCCTCCTCTGCTGCTGCTGCTGCTGCTGCTGGCTGGTGGAGAGACCGCCGCTCCTCCCTCTCCCCCCGCGCCGGGCCGGGCCACGCGCCAGCTGATCTCGAAGCGGGCGGGCGGGCGAGCGACCGAGCTGGCTGGCTGGCTGGTTGGTTGGAGGCGCGCGCTCGCTGGCTCGTCTGCCTGCTCACCTCGCCTCGCGCTCGCTCGCACGGCGAGCCGGCCTGCTCCGCGCCGCCTAGCGCCGCCTCGCCTCGCCTCCGCGCTCAGTTGGGCCGCGGCGACCCGACCGAACGGCCGCCGCTGATCGTCACAGCCAGCGCGACAGGGCAGAGCGGCACGCTCTCTCGGTCTGCCTCACTCGCTCGCCAAGGAGCGCACGACGACGTCGGCAGCGAAGCGCGTGCGCGAGCCAGCGACAGCCCACGCCGCGACGCGGCGCGGCGCGCCTGCCCGCAGCTAATTACGGATCGCCCCGGAAACGGAAGTAGTACAACCAGCCGGAGCCTCAGCGGCAACAGCAGCAGCAGCAGCTTCGGCAGCGGCGACCCGCGTGAGGAAGCGTCGCTGGCCGCAGACATGCCGCAACGCGAGCGATACAAGGTGAGACGCGACCCCTACCCTGCGTGGAGTGACGGCGGGAATGTTCGTACGTGGAGTAAGTTTCCCGCTTCCGGCGTCAATATATTATTTTCAAGTGTGTGTGTGAGTGTTTTGAGAGCGTACACAATACAATTCCGTCAGATGTCTCAACGCTATTAATCTACAGGTGCCTCTGATCATTGAAAGTTACGAAACTTTTTATTGAGATGTGAGAGTATTACGAGTATTGGAGATTTTCAGATACGTACATTATACTATTACTATTATTTTATGTCGTAGTAAGTGTTTTAAATAAAGTGTTATCCCACTAATCCTATAATGTCACTAACCAAAAAAGTGTCATCCCTTCAAGCAGGTGAATCTTGTGTAAATAAAATGACATGACTGAATACATACACAAATGCAGTGGAAATACAAACGATTTTCGTCCTTTTTTTTTCTTCCATATTGAGATGTTGCCATAGTGAGTAGCACACGATTAATGATGCCTCTTGAACACTGAACTCGTGACATTCGCATCACCGAAAACGTCTGTTATTTTAATAGCTTAGTTCTACTCCCCCGTTGACGTAGGTCAAGAAATATACGACTCACACAACGTTTCTTCAGTGCATCGCGAAACTACGACGCACTATCACGTGCACTACCAGTGAAGAAACTCGATCCCCTCCGCACAACCGGTCAGATCGGAACGGGGGTTCTGGAGCTTCTCCCTCGGGGAGAGACTGGCGGAGTGACTCGGTCGTCCTTCATAGAGACGTCACGCGGGCTGCTTGCACCGCGGCCGGTACAGATCTCCGCGCGGCGGAATGTTAATGGCGAGCCCGCGGGCCGCACGGGCGCGCTATTAGCGCCCATTCTTCTTCCGCGAGCGACGCGGGCAGGGCGAGGGCGAGGGCGCGCGCCGCCCGCCCATTGTCTGGGCGAGCCGCCCCAGCGTGCGCGCGCCGATCAGGCGAAGGGCGAGGCAGGGTGCGGCGCGGTGGAACACGCGGGATGTGTACAGTGGGCCAGTCAGAGATGGAATTCGGGAATGGGGAGTTTCGTAAGTAATTCTGTTAAGGTGGCTCCACGTATTCGTTGTTCGGCGAGCAACGAAGAACTGCTCGTTTCCGCTTCGAATGAACCATACCATTTTCCGTTGCAAACCGTTTCCCGTTTTATCTTATTTACTGACGATTGTAGTAGCTTACAGGTTAAAGCATAAAATGTGAAGTAATAAATGCTCTCCTCAATTCCTTCTGCTCTATCACTAGATAATTAGAATACTTGCTTCATTACAATCAATTCGAGTAGTATGGATGAGTTGCTTACTATTTGCCGAGTGACGAACTTCAGAGTTCGCTATACCCACCGCAAGTCTTTTGCACACGTCGAAGTAAGCGAACATTCGCCGAACACATCAGCTGTTCGGTGCTGGACTAAAATTTCTGCTCGACGAATGCCGAAAGTTTTGTGCAGACTTTAGAGTAGCGGATACTATAAGATGTTGATACTTAATTAAAATCTAAAACAACTAATTTTGTTTTGTAAAATAATATTCTAAATTACAAGTAGTAAATGAATTGTCTTCATTATATTCACTTTATTATGGTTGGTTTAGGGTGATTCGTTTTTAATTCATAGCACTATTTTAATACCTTTACTTCCACAGTCACAAATTTTTTGTAGTAAGTGTTTTAAATAAGTGTTTATCCATAATTATAATGTCACTAAACAAAAAAGTGTCATCCCTTGAAGCAGGTGAATCTTTGTGTAATAAAATGAATGATGAATACTACACAAATGCAGTGGAAATACAAGATTTTCGTCCTTTTTTTTTTTCTTCCATTATTGAGATGCTGCATAGTGAGTAGCACACGATTATGATGCCACTTTGAACATCTGAATCGTGACATTCGCATCACCGAAAAGTCTTATTTTAATAGCTTAGTTCTACTCGCGTTGAGTAGGTCAAGAATATAACGATCAAACAACGTTTCTTCAGTGATCGCGAAAGCACGACGCACTATCAGGTGCCTACAGTGAAGAAATCCGATCCCCTCCGACAACGGTCAGATCGGAACCTGACCAGCCACAACGCGGTTCTGGAGCTTCTCCCCGCGGGACGAGACGGCGGAGTGACTCGGTCGTCTTCATAGAGACGTCGCGGGCGGAGGCGGCGGACCACGCGGGCTGTTGCACGCGGCGGTGTACAGATCTCGCGCGGGCGGAATGTTAATGGGAGCCCGGGGCCGCACGGGCGCGCTATTAGCGCCCATTCTTCTTTTCGCGAGCGACGCGGGCAGGGAGGGCGAGGGCGGCGCGCCGCATTGTCTGGGCGAGCGCGCCCCGCGTGCGGCGCCGATCGGAGAAGGGCGAGGCAGGGTGGGCGCGGTGGAACAGCGGGGATGTGTAAGTGGGCCAGTTAGAGATGGAATTCGGGAATGGGAAGTTTCGTATGTATTCTGTAAGGTGTCGTATCGTTGTTCGGCGAGCAACGAGACTGCTCGTTTCCGCTTCGATGAACCATACTATTTTTCGTTGCAACCGTTTCCCGTTTTATCTTATTTACTGAGATTCGTAGTAGTTACAGTTAAAGCGTAAAATGTGAAGTAATAAATGCACCTCAATTCTTCTGCTCATGCA